ATGATTATTGATATAAATTCTTTTGCAAAGTTTTTTAACTGAATAAAGATCATTTATTAGGTCCGCACCATTTATCATATATAGGAATATTTATATTTGAGAAAAATGAATATAGTTCCTATATTCATTTTTCTCAAATAGCACGCATCACTTAAATTAATTACTTTTCTTTTATCTTTTAAGATTATTATTTTTTTCTTTACTTTTGTAACTAGATAACGTAACTACAACTTTGTAGAAACATACATAAGTAAAAAAATATAAAGAAAAAATATTTTTTTAATGAATTTCTTGTTCAATATAAACCGGTTGAAATAAAAACCGGATAACCAAGTGAAGTAATTTTACAACTTTTATTGTGTATATGTATGACCAATAATAAAATTCTTGAATAATAGTCACAAGTATAGAGTGACATTAGAGACAATTATCTAAGGACTTCGTAGAAAATTTACATCTCATAACTTAAGTTTGATAAGATGATGAATTAATTGGTATGATTATCATACAACAACATTACATAAAATGCAATGAAAAAAATAATATTAACAACAGTTATCAGATTAACAGGATAATAAGTGTTGAATGAAAATATCAAATTTAGAATATATAATGAGAGAGTTATATATATTAAAAAATATAAGTTTCATAATTTACATATATTCACGTAACGTGTTTTGGCTAGAGATTGAGATTTCAGATGTATGAAAGTTTAAAAATTTAAAAAAGAAAAAACGCAAAACAATAAAATTAAACGAGAAACAGATCACAAGATTTGAGAGATCAAATATTTTCCAGAGCAAAAATTGCTCACAATAAACGGATAAAAGAGCACCTGGATATTCTAATATAAATGTATATTTGTTAGAAACATTTAAAAATCAAAGAAACCAAAATTATTACTCTCTGCCAAAAACTCATTCGTGGAACCGAAGGTTTGTTGCAATCATTAGCATATTGTTAATCGAATGCACATAAAAAATAGTAGCAATTAGATGCGGTCAAATGTTGTAAAAATAATTAATTAAGCTGATTAAAAATAATTAATTAAGCTGTCAAGTAAAATTTTTCTAAAAAAAAATTATTATTTATAAATTAGAATTTGTATGGTTATTGCGGCGGATAGAAAGATAATAGAAAAATAAATAATTGTAGTGCTACAAAGTCAAATTTTGTTTATGATATACACTGTTAAAAATGTAAACACGAGCTTTTTTTAAATGAAGCTCGTGGCTATGAACGAAATTAAAAATAATGAATGATCTAACTTTAAAATTAAGTTACAGTGGTTATTTAAATGAAATAAACGTATATATTAAATTTATGAAATTTAATGTGCTTTTAATAAAATTTTATGAAAAGTATATTAAATTTTCATGAAAAACACATTAAATTTTACATATACACAAATATATTTTTTAGTTATAAATACATTAAATTTAGTATAATGTCATGAAATTAAATTCAAATTGTGTAACTTAAAAGTTAATAAAATTAATTTAAGAATATCTAACAGTGTATGTTTTATTTTTTTATGCAGACCCTTTGTGCCTGCTTGGAGATTTAATATAAAGCATTTCCGAGATCAAACGTTTGTTATAGCATAATTCTTCGTCGAGAATTGAAATGTTTTCCCAATCAAAATCATGTTCGAACTACATCTTGTGTTCAGTTATGATAGAGCGGAAAGATATATTCTGTCTGATGTGATTTTTATCTTCTGTAATTCTTATATTTAATTGTCCAACATAAGGTACATTACAATCTTTGCACTTAATTTTGTATATTACATTATTTTTTGAGAAAGGAGGGAAAAGGTCTTCTTGGATTTTAATAAATTTTTGTAATTTATTTAAGCTATGGAAATAGACTTCAGACTTTGTTATTGAATTGTTTAAATTTTTTATAATATATAGAATATATGGTACGATAAATCATCAAATATTGAGTTATTTTGGTTATCCACTATTTGGAGGATTTTGCCATGTTCTTCTTTGTAAGAGGCTTTTGATTTTTTATTGATAGTCTTAAAAATAAATTCCAATGGATAATCATTTGCAAGTATGGTGATGATTAGAAATTCTAAATTTTTTGAATGTATTCTTGGTCCGACAATAAAAAAGTTTTATCAACTAAATAATAGTACCTCTTTTTCGAGAAATAGGATGGTTGGAGAAAAACTTTAGAGATCTCTCAGAAAACTGTTTTTATGATATCAGTCAAAATTTAGGTAATCGTCTTTTTTTCTCGAGTAACATCTAAGAAATTCAACGCGTCACCTTCGACTTTTAAAGTGGATTGGAGATGAGGGATAAATAAAAACAATTTCGTAAGAAGTTTGAGAAAGAGGAACTGTCATACCATCATCGACATATCGATAATAAGAAGATAATTGTTCATTAAATGATATCGCTTTAAATGAAGCTCTACTTTTTAGTCTTTGTAGCACTAATTATAAAAAGCCTTAAACGATTTACCTGGATTTTAAATGCTTGTATGATTCTTGCGTGAATTTATATACTACGTATGTAGAGAAACGCGCGCCGAAATGATTTTTTGATCTTTGAAAACGCTAACTTTAAATTAGTACAGTATTATCACGAGTTAAATTGACCAAC